GAGGGGCAAGAAGAGATATCAGTGAAGATTGATACCTGGCCATGGGAACAAAGAGACATCAGGGGAGAGGGGATGAGTGATGTTGGCGATAACTAGGCTACTGCATTACACAGCAAAAACAGTTGAAATGGCTTGAATTCAGAATATTAAAGGGCCCATATTTTCTGAACCATGTTATAACATTGTTTCTGCATCAAAAACATATCTGGAGTTGTGTTTTGTTTCATTCACACATTTTTAACACACAAATCCAGCATATTTAGTTCTTCTCTAAAACTGAAAACACTCTTTTCCACCTTGTGATGCCCCACTGTGTTTTTAAACTTCATACACCTTCACTAGAATCATTTGGATGATTTCAACCCAGGAATTGCCAATCTCCACTGAACTAGCTCTTCACTTGAAAACTATCGCTTCCTGACATCACAAAATGGAACAGAGCATTTTGAGCTCTGGAAATGTAGACAGACAAAAAACAAAGAATTACAAAACACAACTCCAAGTATGTTTTTGATGAGGTACGGACATTACAACATGGCTACAAGCTCTATAAAAGAGTCTATTTTGCGTAATATAGGACCTTTAATATTTTGCCAATCCCATGTCACTGGAGTAAGAAGTTGTATTGCGAGACATATAGAAAGTAGCAGTAGTTATTAAGTTAGTAAAAATGCAGAATTTGGCTGACAAATGCCACAATCTGTTATAATGATGTTTCGGAGATGATTGGAGCAGTCTGCACTCACGGCAACGGAAGGCTACCATGGCAACCTCACAAATAGGTGCCCTACATATCGGCGGGGCATTGGGTTACACTGCTCTGTAAACAAACACATAAACAGAACAGGCTACAAGAGGTGCTACAGAGGAGGATGTGTGAAGAAAAAATTAGCAGCAGTCTAATTAAGAGACACAGGGGTCAAGACAAACACGTAAACATGAAAAGCCTGCTTCTCCAGGGCCAGTGTTAAAGTGGGGGAGTCGGTCAGGCATCATTACTGTAATTGTAGCTCTTTTTCAACGCCCACTTCAAACGCATTATAACCTCCCCTTTTCTTGGTTTGTTTATGGAATAAATGGTGCTAAATTATGGGATGGGGATGACTGAATGAAGGTACACAAACTGGATTGTAAAGAGTTTTAGGTCATAACAAACTTAGGTCCACAAAACTGTAACAATATGAATTTCAACGATGGAATAACATGATTGCTTTTTGATTGCTGTATATTTTAGTGAGCAAAAAACTATGGTAATTTTCCACTTAAAGTTGCATTGTATAACTTTTGTGGGGGAGGGTCAGGCTTTGTCTGGTATTAACCCTTTCTATCTTCACATAGACCAAACCAGACCAAGTTACAGGTCAGATCTGGGGAGAGGCAACCCCGCTCACGTCAGAATGCCTGTTTTTCTAGGGATTTTTGAGCTATAAAACCACCTGTAATTGAATAAATGTAAGGTAGAGCGGTTTGATATCATACTGTGAAACATTCCATGCAGAGCAATGACATATCCATGGAAACAAGCAGGTGACGAACCCCCAACCGAAAAGTTACATAGTGTAGCTTTAAAGAGCCTGTATGTATTTGTTCCCATGTATTTGAGTAAAACTGGTCTTGCCCCAGTACTGAGACATATATATGTAGTAAAAGCAGCTTTCGAGGTCAAAATAAGTCTGCTGTCAAATCAGGAAGTGCATGTTAGCATTCTAGTTGTTGTTAGCAGAGGCCCTGATCTCTGAAAGTTGTGAAAAGTGCTCATAAACCTCAGATTGCCTAAGATATGTGAGGAATAACTTTGAACCACTGCAAACTGTTTAAAATGGACAGTAAAAATCAAGTCTTTAAGATGCCTTTGAAATAGTCATTTATGAGGTATTAAAAGGATTTGGGGATTTGTAATGCATCCAGATAAATCCCAAATGGTTTAGCTGGTCCTGCTACTGGGGGTGCGACAGGAGGGGGTCTCACCCGAGAAGTAAATCAGTGTAGGACCGCCACTGCTTGTATTTTTTTCCTAGATTCGTCTCGATTGACTTGTGGTGTTTGTGTGTTGTTTAATGTGGTCCCTTTGCTTACAATCTGACCACATTTGTATGTTCTTTTCACCCAATTTTAGTCCTGGTTCAGTTCTTGTTTAGATTAGGTAACTCTAATTCAATCCTTAAAGATCGCAAACTTGACTCTTGTGAGCTTTAAGTCATGTTAGAATGTTGTTACCTCCTCAAAAACATATCTGGATTTGTCACATGTTTGAGTAACCCTTTATTATAAGTCTGTCTACATCTCTAAAGCTGAAAATGCTCTGTTCCACCTTGTGATGTCATGAAGCGGTCGTTTTAAAGTTAACAGCAAACTTTTACATTTAGTTCAGTAGTGATCGGCAATTCCAGAGCTGAAATCATTCAAATAATTCTAGTGAAGGTGTATGGAATTTAAGAACACAGTGGAGCACTTCCTATATTACCGCACACAACTCCAGGTATGTTTTGGATAAGGACTCAACATTGCAACTTATATCAGAAAATATAGTTCAATATAGGCCCTTTAAATGCAAATCAAACCATGTTACATTTCGTTTAGTAAAGACAATAGTGTGATTTTAGTTTATAGAAGATGACACATGTTGCTTCACTTCCCTTCTCTTCACACCGCCTCTGTACCAGACAACCCCAAATTACCTTAAACACACACACAAGCTCTCTCTCTCTCTGGATAACAGCGCATGGAGCCAAACACCAAAACACACACTATGAAGCAGGAAATGTCAACAAAGCAGAGCCACTTCTCACACAATAACTGTTTTCTTCTATAAGAGACGTCCTCCTGTGGATGGGGATGTTTATCAAAACCATTAAGAGTCTTCGTCAAGGCCAATTCCGCAACAACAACTAAAGACTTAACAGAGATGGAATTCTTAATAAGCGGCTGACAAAGTATTCTTTATGATGGCAACATGCCTTTGAATCCACACAGATCATATTGTGCAAACAGAGGAAAGCAATGTTGACATAGCCTTGCATATTTGAAATAAGTTATATCTTAAAGTTTGTATATTGTGTGAAATTAATTCCGTGAGTGAGCTTTGAGCCATGTTAAAACATTTTTGGAGTTGTGTTTGGTTTCATTCACACAAGTTTACACACAAATCCTGTGTATTTAGGCTGAGTTCTTCTCTCAAACAGAAAAGACTCTTCGAAAACACTGTTCCACCTTGAGATGTGATATGGGAAGTGCTTCACTGTGTTTTTAAACTCCTTACACCTTCACTAGAATCATTTGGATGATTTCTATCCTGGAATCTCTATAAGTAAAGGTAAAATTTAGCTGTAAACTTGAAAACTACAGCTTTATAACACCACAAGATGGAACAGAGCATTTTTGAGCTTTGTCGATGCAGACAAACTAATAATAAAGTGGTACCGAAACGTGTGTGAATGAAAGAAAGCACAATTCCGGGTATGTTTTTGAGGTCACAAGAGACAATTTTGCATAATAAAGGATTGTAGTTGGATGTATTGACCAATATTAAGCCACGTCTCTTTTGTTTACTTGTTAAAAATAGTTCTGGCTAATGTTAACTCAGTGATGTTACAGCCTGCTAACCACACCAATGTGTTTTTCCTACCAATCAAAAGCATTACAAAATCAAACTCTCTATATTCTAAAAATATATCATCAAAGCTCCAAACCTCATCAGCAGAGAAGCAGTTCACATCAAAGACTCACTGAAGGCCATGTTAGAAGGCTAAAAGTTTGTGTTAAATTGATTTCCTCAGAACTGATATCTTTTAGACTTGATTTTCAAACTTTATGGCCAGTAATAGAGATGGTTATTTGCATAGAGAGTGGGCAAGTTAGAATCTTTTATCCTCTGTAAAAAGAATTAGTCTGGTCTGTATGGATATGAGTTCGGTTTCTGATGAGGAGAGGAGTTAGAATACAGTTAGATTAGGTCTATAAGTGAGTTACCATAGACTGTTATTTCCTTTAGACCGGTGTTAATATTGCCAACTAAAATATTTTGTCATAGTTTTTGTCAGCGTAATTTTAACTGAAAACGAAATTTAAAAAGTAGCCAAATGATAATGACTAAAACACACATTTTGTTAACTTATAGGTGCACTAACATTTCTAGTGGTGAGTACGCCACCTGTTTGTCTCCATGGAAATGTTATTGCTTTGTCTAGAATGTTCCACAGTATGGTATTAAACCTTTTTATCTTCATGGTATGCAAACCAGACCAAGTTACAGGTCAGGTCTACGGAGATGCAATCCCGCTCACAGTCACAACGTCTCTTTTTCTAGGTATTTTTGAACTATAAAACCACCTGTAATTTAATAAATGTAAGGTAGAGCTGTTTAATGTCATACTGTGGAACATTCCAGGCAGAGCAATGACATACCCACAGAAACAAGCAGGTGATGGATCCCAACCAAAAAGTTACTTCGTGCACCTTTTAGTTATAGCTAAAATTAGATTTTATTTTATTTTTTACTAAAAGCACTGATATTTTCTTTAAATACTAAAAATTAAACATCAATCTACTAAATGAACAAGTGCAGACAAGTTCCAAGTTCCACTTTTCAATCACCGACCCACAAACCAGACCACAAAGCAGTGCGGTACAACTTACCATTGTAAAAAAATAAAATAAAATAATTAAAATATATTCTCAGGCTGACTAAGACGTTATGGATTTAGTTTAATTGTCCTGATTTGGTTCAAAATTGAGCCCATTTTGGTGACTCTTTTGGTCATGTTTTCATGATTTCATGCAAGTTTAGTTACAGCTTTAGTCTCAGTTTAGTTCAAAGTCTCTTGATGGTGAATGTGCAGAAAGTGAACTCAAACTGACTAAAATTAGACTTTTATTGAGAAGACTAAGATGAAAACTAACCACTGACAAAATGACCACAGCTTTAAACCAATGCAATTTCAAAAAGCTTACAACATTACAACATTATAACAAAAATATGGCAGAATAAAGTTATCACTCACCCTGATCACTTCTGGAGTCTGCTGGATGAGAAGAGTCGACCCACTGTCTTTCACCACACTGGACACATTGGCCCCTTCACTTCCTGGTTCTGCTGTTGTCGTGGAAACGTGGGGCGGAGCTTCGGGTACAGGCTCTGATACAGTCAGAGGTGCTGAGGAATGCAAGCTTGCAGGTGTGGAGGAGTCTATTGATTTCGGCAACGGTTCTGATATGGTAACTTCAGTAACTGTAGGTGCTTCTGTGACTTGAAGAATAGGTTCTGGGATTGAGAGAGGCACTTGTTTAGGGGGAGTTTCAATCTGGCAACCAGGCAAAGGTTCAGGTGCACTTTCGGACATGTATGTTGTTAAGTGGGACTGTTTTGGTGGGATAGCTGGCGGTATTTCACTTGACAACAGGATCTGATGTTATTAGCAAATTTTCTAGCGGGGTATTTGACCTGCTAGTAGATGCTAACGTATCTTGAAGCAACCTCATCACCTCTCTCTCTTTGCCACTACTTCTTTCAGCACTTCCTGTACTCCCAGCCCCAGAGTCAACCAGTTCTTGAGCGAAACTTTCAATGCTTTCCAAAATCCTCATCAAAAGCGCTCCGTCTTCCTCCTCGCCAACTCCACCTTGGTTGCTTGGTTCAACGTGGGACAAGGCAACAGGAATTGGAGACTTTGACCTGGGCCCATTCATAGATACAGGCTTCTGGATTTGAAATTGCGTTGATTTGGGTTGAGCGAAACCATCATTATTACTGAGTTTATCCCGCTTCCTGGTCTTTGCTGGAAGTGGCGGGTTGCTCATACTTTGCGATAAGTTTTCTAAGTCCATCAACAGCTTGTCAATATCTTCGTTTCTATGCGTAACAGGTTGAGGCGTTGCCAGATTTGGTGGGGTAGAAGCAGGAGGCCAGCTTGGACTATAGCTGGAATTAACTTGTGGATTATTTGACATATGAAATTGCTGGTTTAGCACAGGCCCATTTACGTTACTTGACTGTTTTGGAGGAATTTCGACCATTTGTTCAGGCGGGTCTTCCTCTTCGATATACAGGGCCTCCATTGGGGATGCTGGGGGTGTGTGCGTGTACGGAGGCGTAGGAGAGGTGCGGAGAGGCGAATGAGAGGGGGAGGACGAAGAGCTTGATGAAGAGTACGTCACAGATGGGACAGTTAATGTGTGTTGACTTACTGACGAATGCTGTAGACCATTTGTAAGTGTAGGAGTGCGTGATGGAGAACTTATGGGTGATTTCGTGTTAGAATCTGGTTTCAAGGACGAAGAGATGTATGATTTTGTTATGGGAGGGGACTGGACTACATCTTCGTAGCGGGGTGGTTGTTCGTTGCCGAAAATTGGCGAGAAAGGCGATTGCTGAAGTGAGTGAAGACTGTTCACCAACTCCGCAAGCTCGCTATGCCCTTGCCCACTGCTGAGGCCTTCCAAATCCAAGGGTAGTCTTTTCAGATAGGAACTAAGTCTCGTCATCATCGCTCGGTACACACTATCAGGGCTGGCTCCTCCATCTTCGTGACCGCCGCCTGCTTTCCGGCGAATGCACTGCTTGATAATATCGGTGCATTTCTTCAAATCTTCCGAGCATTTGAGCAGGATGTCCAAACACGCACGGATATCCTCCCCTCCACCGCTGCCCGCCTCCGCTCGCGTTTTCTCCAGCAAACGAGCGATGAGATTCTCCTCCCCCATGGTGCTACGATACAAGGACGTAATCGTGTTCATGCTCTGGTCTAGGGAGCTGATGCTAGGGAGGCTTCCAGTAGAGCCCCCGCTTGCTTTGGTAATAGTGGACAGGTTGCTTGAGTTTCCTTTCTGTTTGGCCTCCTCTAAGCTTTTACCTAACCCAAATGACTGCACATTCTCATCATTGGAAGTACTTAGCCCATTCGTCATCCCATTAGCAGCGCCATTAGAAGTGACAGTGGAGCTAAAGTGCCCATAGATAATCTCCAAGTCTGCGGACCGCCGACTGAACGAATCCGGACGCACTTTCCGCCCTTTTCTAAAAGTGACATGATTTGAGGATGAGAGGCGGAGCTTGTCAAAGGAGAATTCTTTTAGCTTCCCACTGGCTAAATTAATAGCTTCTTCGGTGATATCCTTTAAACTGCCGGACAAGTTCCCAATAGATCCACTTGATGCTTTTTTACTTCGCAATGTGGATGTGTCTTCGCCTATGGACAAATTACCACTGCTCCCAGCTCTTTCCAGACCACTGCTGTACCCGCTATCTATTGAAATGCTTTTACCATGATTGGACAAATGTTGACCGATATTTCTAGACTGTACGGATGCGTTGTTTGCATCTTTGTATGTTATTTCTGGAGCAACAAGCAGCTCAGAGCAGGTTCCTCTATGGGCCAGGGTGCAGTCCAGTCCCTGTGATAGCGCCCCACATGGCCCAGAGCAGTAGTGCACGGCATGGGAGTGGGCGCGCCTGTCCACTACCACGCTATTGTAACAGCTTATACTGCTAACCACAACACGATATGCAGCTGCCATGATTGCGAATGTCCAAATGAAATGTCAACAAAAGATAATTATAAAAGTGATATTTTCATCCAGTTGATAGGAAGAAAAAGTTAAGGGTCATCTTGAAATAAAAACTAAAAATTTAAATTTAATGAAATAATCCAGTTCGCAATGGTTAGATTAGTTGTTGCACAAGTCCCAAGACAGGATAAAAATGTTTGCAGCCAAGCAAATAGAAAAGGAAAAACTTGAACTCCAAAATTTGCAGTAATAAAACAATGCAGCAAACCAAAAAAAAAAATATCAAAAATAATCCAAGAAATGCTTTAAATTCGTCACAATCCTCTCCTCTTCAGAAATGTTTAAAATCTCCAAAGCTGTGAATAGCAGATGTACAGTCCCTCCTCTCTCCACAGGCTCCCCTCTTAACAGCCCTTCATTACCCACTAATGACAGTCGTGATGGGGGCCACAGCGGAACATCCAGCTGGGGGTCTCATCACCCATCCCTCCTCACCCGTGCCCCCAGAGGCCTAATCAAAGCTGGGGGAGACTTCAACCACCGTCATACCCCCGGTGCCGGTACATCCCATGGGTAGTGATTTGACAAAAGTCCCCCTTATTTTTCTATTTGGATTGGTTTTGAAGCAGATGTGAAATAGTAAAAGATGGGTCGCAGATGGTTGGCTGAAGCTTGCTCAGTGTGGGCCAGTCACTCCGAGTCGCTACGTCTCCAAATCTCAAGAGGAAAGCAAAGGAAGTTTTTGGATAGGACAACGCCAACTGCAAGAGAAGAGAGAGATAAAATATGTTAGTGAACTATTCATTACAGATGATGAGGTGTAGACAGTTGAAAAGCAACAAAAATACACGAATGGCAACCAAAAATGTTCATTTTATCTTCTTGTATTGAAAAGAACAGTGGCTTTGCAGGGCTGCAACATAAATCTAAATCGAAACGTCTGAATGGACCCAATTAGCAAATTGCAAAGGCTGCAGTTTCTGAAGTACTGTAACTTCCTCCACAAACAAAATATCCTGTCTTGTTCTGCATAAGAACGGCTAACACTGTAGTTTAGATCTGTACAGACATATTCTGAAATATGATTCCTGAATACATTTGTCAGTTCAGTCTCTATAGTCTCTTTGACAATTCTTCTCAACACGTTTAAACATTCAAAAAGAATCTTATTATTAAAACATAAATTGCAATTTGATATTTTCCCCACATTGTTCAGCCCTGCTTTGCAGCTGGAATATATCAACAACTACACCTCCTAACTTATTATCTGTATAAAGAGCCAAAGTTTGTGGATGTTTAAGTGTTTCTTGGAAAACACTATACTGATTTATGCTCTGGCAAAACAATGTTGAATTTGGTATGTTTTTGATTTTCTTATTCTTAGCAAGTTTTCAGACTTTTTGACTTTTCAAGGGAGGATTTTCAAACTGTAAACTTAAAAATATTGCTTTTTCAAAAGGATCCAAAACATAAAAGTGTCATTAGTTTCCTCAAAAGATTTGGATACAGTAACATGGCATATATCCACTTATTATGTTCTAAAAGTCCTATATTATGCACAATTGACTCTTGTGAGCTTCAAGCTGTGTTATAATGTTGTTACTTCCTCAAAAACATAGCTGCTGTCATGTTTTATTCACATATGTTTGGATAATCCTTTATTATTAGTCTGTCTACATTTCCATAGCTCAAAATGCTCTGTTCCACCTTGTGATGTCATGATGCAGTAGTTTTCAAGTTAACAGCTACATTTTACCTTTAGTTCAGTAGAAATTGGCAATTCCAGGTAAGGTCTCTGTTTGAGAGAAGAACACAGCCTAAATATGCAGGATTTGTGTGTTAAGTACGGGTGTAACGGTGCATGTATTCATGCTGAACATCGGTACGGGACCTTTGGTTCGGTGTGGGGCTGTGCACAAGTGAGTTCACGCAATATGTGTGTGTTTACATTCAGCCACTACATGTGCAGCTATACAGAGGCTCGGCTCTTTAATATTCACAAGAGAACTTGTCCGTGATTGGGGCGGCAGCGTTTCCTTGGCCACCTTGACAGCAACTGTCTACCACTTTCACTACGTCCCTCCGAACCATGTGAATCCTCGCAAAACTCGCCGTGCCCTAGGCCTCACTCTCGCCTTTCGCTGGCACGGAAAACCGAGGTACGTACCGAATCGTGGCTTTTGTATACATTATACCTCTAGGGTTAAATATGTGTGAATAAAACAAAACACAACTCCAGGTATATTTTTGATGTGGAAACAACATTACAACATAAATCAGAAAAGAGCACAATATAGGCCATTTAAATATCCTTTAAGAAAACCATGCAAAGAATGTTACCTTGAGTCAATACTAAGTGGGGACAAGCGCTTAATCTTCAAAGAATATAAATTACAGACATTAGCCTATAATAACCCTGCTATGATCTGCATTCCTAATACAAAATACAAAACTATATTGCACATTCCTTGAGGTGTGCATTTGAATGTAAAGGTGCTTCCTGGTTTAGTGGAGACAGGATGATTGGTTGGTTTTGGAAGAGGCGGAGGAGGAGGAGGTGGTGGGCACAATGAGGCCGGGGGGGCTGTGGCACCTGGAAAAACAACTATTAAGTATGGAAAAAAACACACAGTCACCTCAGATCACTGTCTCCCTCTCTTTCTTTCCTCTCTCCTTTTCCCTCTTTCTCTCCGTTCCTCTTTTTCTCTCTCTCTTCCCCTTCCGCTCTCGTTCCTCCCCTTCTCTGTCACTTCTCTTTGTGTTTCTTTATCTCCCTTACTCTTTCTTTCTCTCTTTCTCCCTCCCTCTCCCTCTTTGCATGTCTTTCTTCTTTCTGTCTGTCTATTTCTCATCTCTTCTCCATCTCTTGCCTCTCTACAGTATGTCTCCCTTCTTTCTACCTCTCCTCTCTCCCCCCCTTCTTTCTCAACCCCACTCTCTTGTCTAACAAACTTTCGCCTCTCTCTTTCTCCCTCACCCTTGTACTTTCTCTCCCTCTTTCTTTTCCTTTCCTCTCTGTCTCTCCATTTCTCTCTCTCTATCTTCTCTCTCACACACTCCCACTCTCTCTCCCTCCCCTTCTATCCTTTTACCTTCCACCTCTCTATCACTCATCCTTCTCTCTCTCTCCCTCTCTTTCTCCCACAATCTCTACCCCACCCGCTCTCTCTCTCTCTCACTCCTCTTTCCGTCCCCCTCTTTCGCTCTCTCTCTCTTTTTACAAACACACAACAGCTGGATGCCGCCGTGGCGCTGAATCAGTCTTGGGCAGGAAATTACTCTTCCTGACAAGCTGTTCTTTCGCTTAAATCTGCACGGACAATTTTACAAATAGTCTATTACAAATAAGTCATACCAAGCGCCACTATCTCCTCTGTACAGCGCAGTCTTAATATATATGTGATACCAGCCATGTAAACAAACTCCACTCGTGTTTATAGCTCTATAGAAATACACAGACACACGCGCCCACTCACCAATACAGCGCATGGCTCAGTGACATCATGATGATTCAGGGGCTGCGAACACACCCATGTTTGTGTACCCAAGCCACGTGAAACCAACGTTTTATAGTAGTTTGTGAACAGTACAAGAATGTGCAAAGATATTAATTTTACATTCATAAGTATTGGTCTAAACTGGCAAAACTTCATGACAAAAGTGAAGTTTAAAGATCCTACATAACACAAAACTTACTCTTATGAGCTTTAAGCCATGTTATAACCTCCTGAAAAATATAACCAGAGTTGTGTTTTGTTTCATTCACACATGTTTGAGTAATCCTTTATTATTAGTCTGTCTACATCTCCAAAGCTCAAAATGCTGCGTTTTTCCACCTTGTCATGTAGTTGTAGTTTTCAGGTTAACATACGTTTTACCTTCTGTTCTGTGAGGGTCTAAGGAGTTTAAAAACACAGTGGAGCAGTTCCTACATTACTACATGACATCAGAGAAAAGCAGGGTTTGTGTGGTAAATGTGTGAATGAAACAAAACGCTGCTCCAGGTATGTTTATGATGAAGAAACAGCATTGTAGCATAGATCAGAAAATACTATAATATTGGCTGTTAAAATAATTCAAAATACCTAAATCTTCTTATTTCAGTTGCTACAGCTGCATTCAGGATTATAAGATTATTAAATATAGAACAGTGCATGGGTGACGTTTAATTAAAAAATGGTAGGGCGCATATTTAACAAGTAATGAAAGCCTCAGTATTAGGGCTGGGTATCATTAACAAGTTGTTGCTACGATACATACCTCGATACATAGATACATACGATATATAACTCGATACAGTGCACTTTCAATTCGATATGATATATTTCAATTCGATTTGATTCAATTCAAAGTCTTTGTTAAACCACTTCTTGTGCAAAGTTCATATGAAACAAACGTTTTACTCATCAAAACAGTGAAAATGTCAAATGTGTCACATAAACGACACATTTCACATTTCCTCTCAACAAGTGACAAAACTGTAGCTCTGTAACAAAATAATTAAGTAAAGTACACCCAAAAATACTCTTGGAGATATATAGGATACAGCAGCCCACGATATCGATAGTGTATCAGTACATTAAATGATACGATATATCGATATTTAGATATTTTTGCACACCCCTACTCAGTATAATGTATATCCTTTCAGAAGTGTATCTCAGGAATAAAAACTATAGAAAAGAACAGGTGAAAACTGTAATGTACCAGGGGTCCATTCATCAAAGTGCAATTCGGTTTCAAAACATCACAGTTTATGTTCAAGCAATGACATTCTTGTTTTCGGTCTGACACAGTTTTCCAGCTCCTCTCCTCTGTTATAAACCCCCTCTCTCTCCCTCTCTTTCTCACTCCCTTAATCTCTCTCTTTCTCTCTCTCTCTTTCTCTCTCTCCCTCTCTATCTCCCCTTCCATTCCTTTCTCCCCCTCCCTCTGTCCCTCTTTCTCTCTCTCTCCTTCTTCCGCTCCCTCCCTCCTTCTTTCTGAACCTGCCTAAAACAGTCCTCCTTCAACTTGACCTTCACAGGAAGCACTAAATCACCAGAGGCCACGTCTGTCGCTGCTGTCACCACCACAGGCGTGTTACAGCACAGTGTTGCAGCGCTTTTCAACATGTGGGACGGGCATACACAGAGTACGCAGGGGGTACATAAGGGGTACACAGGCTTTTTAAGGGGTATTTTAATGTTTCTCAGGATCGAGATAGAAGATTCAGATAAATAAAATACAAAAAGAACAGGTGCAGTTTAACGGTTATTCACAATTACTGGCACCATAACAAAATTAATAATTCACTGATTCGCATTAACGTTGTCTAATGTGTTCCCATTTCTTATGTGACCAGCTTTATTTGAATTTCAGTGCCGTTTTTCAGTTAGATCTAATTTACTCACAATACTAAATAAGATATCCAAAAATCCGTCCACAACTTTGGCCAGTTAAACGCCTTTTCCTTATACAAAAACATTACATCATGAAAAACTTCTTAAATGTTTTTTCCTACATTTATGTTTAAGTAAACTACAGAGAAAGTTAATTATCTCTATCTCTATCTCTCCATTTAAGATTTTGTCCTATTCACCTATTCGTCCTGAGTTTACTTGGGTCTCAGTTTAATTTTAATTTTAATGCGTCTTCACAGATCTGACCTGTAACTTGGCCTGGTTTGTTCTCCATTAAGATAGAAAGGCTTAATATGACGAGCTATAGGCTATACATTTGACGAGCCCTCGACCAGAAAAGTTACACAACGCAACTTGAA